TATAGAAAAAAATACAGTTGATTTTCTTATCTCAATCTTGATCTCATCAAAATTATTAAATTTACTTAATTTATCTGTAGATTTATTTAGATTCTAGGAAGACAATCGTATCCATTAGTAATGAGCTTTAGTTCTTTCCCACAAATCTATGCCTTTTATTTGTTTTGCTTGCCTCATTGAACCAGCTAGGATCTCGTGTACAATGCTACATAGAAGTGGTAGTAACAGGCAATCTTGTCTTGTTCCTCATCTCAAAGGGAAAGTCTTCAACGTTTCACCATTAGGTATATTTGTTGTAGGTTTTTGTAGTTATCCTTTATTAGATTAAGGAATTTCCCTTTTGTTTCTAGCCTGTTAAGCATTTTTTCAAAGCATGAATGTATATTGAATTCTATCAAATGATTTATCAGTATCTTTTGAAATGATCTTTTATTCTGTTAAAATTACATTACACGTTTAAATTGATGCAATAAACAGACGTTGGTATGACACATTACCCTATTTAAAGTTTCTAGGTTCATTTTGCTAATATTTTATTTAAGATTTTTGCATCTCTGTTCAGGAATGAGATCGAACTGTCATTATCCTTTGCCATAATGTCCTGGTCAAGTTTTAGTATCAAAACTACCGTAGCCTTACAAAACAAACTGGAAAATGTTCCCTCTTTTTCTGTTCTCTGGGTGGGTTTAATAGAATTAGATAGTCAAGATTTCTGAATCTGGACTTATCTTTGTAGGAGGGCTTTTAATTATTGATTCAATTCCTTCAATAGCTAAGACTATTTAGGACTTTCTATATCTTCCTGTGTCCCTTTTGGTAATATATGTTTTTCCAGGAACTTGTTAACTTAATCTAAATTACAAAATTTATCAGCACAAAATTGTTCGCATTTTCTTATAAAAATTTCAATGTTTGGAGGATCTGTAGTAATATCTCTATTTTTGTTCTCGACATTAACTATATCTGTCTTTTATATTCTTGATCAGTTTTACCAGTTGTTTATCAATTTTATCAGTCTTTCCAAAAACACACTTTTAGCCATGTTAGTCTTTGTTATTCACTTTGCTTCATTATACAATTAATTTCTGCTCTCATTTTTATTATTTCCTTTTTCTGTATTCTTTGGGTTTATTTTAATGTCATTTTGTCACTTTTCACCTAGATTCTTTTCACTTTTGCTTAGATCATTTAATTGTTGCCTTTCCTCTTTCCTAATATGTTCATTTAAGTCTGTAAACATCTCTATAATAGCAAGTTTTTATTTGTAATATTTTTGTTATCACTCAGTTCAACAAATTTTTCTTACATCATTATTTCTTCTTTGATTCATGAGTTAAAACTGTATTTTTAATCCTTCCAAAATATGGATTTTCTGGTTATATTTTGTTATTGTTTTCTAGTTTAATGGCATGTGGTCAGAAAAAATACTCTGTATGATTTCAATCTTCTGAAATTTGTTGAAATATGTTTTATTATTCCGCTATATGATTGATCTTTAGAAAAAGTTTCTGGTGTGCTTGGTGTATTGTATTCTGAGGTTATTGGATTTACTTCTATATATGACAATTACATCTGTTAATCATATTGTTAAAAATATTCCATATCTTGGGGCCAGCCCAGCGGTGTAGAGGTTAAGTTCGCACACTTTACTACGGCAGCCCAGGGCTCGCAGGTTCGGATACTGGCGTGGACCTATGCACCGCTTATCAAGCCACACAGTGGTGGTGTCCCATAAGTAGAGAAAGATGGGCATGGATGTTAGCCCAGAGCCAATATTCCTCAGCAAAACAGAGGAGGATTGGCAACAGATGTTACATCAGGGCTAATCTTCCTCAAAAGAAAAAAATATTCCATATCTTTAATTTTTTTTTGAGATATATATATTAAAATCTCCCACTATAGTTGTAGATTCGTCTATTTTTCCTTGTAATTCTGTCAACTTTTGCTTTGTAAAACATCTGGAACATTATTACTTGTAGGAATCTAGGGTGTTTACCAAGGCGCCCATCTTTGGCAGGCCCAAACTCCTACTTTTTCCCTTAGGCCCATGAGTCTGTCAAAAGCACTACTCAGTACTAACAAGCACTCACTATCAAGTACTTGGTTAACTCTCTAATGTCTTCAAGCAAATGTTTCTAGTTGTCATCAGAGAGAGGATTTGTCCAAATACCTAGCGCTTTATTACCAAAAGCAGAAGTTCTAACTCAGTGGTTTTCAAAAATATTTTTTTAGCCATGGAACCCCTTGTGAAATGAACTTATATGGAAGCTCAGCACATGAAAGAAACACGGAGATGCTGAGGCTGAAAAGTATTGAGGGATCTCGGAGTTTCCCAAGTAACCTAGCTACAATAAAATAATGAGCTAGTCCCAAGAACTCTAGTACCCTGGAGATATAGAGATAGAGATAGATAGAGATAGAGATAGATAGAGATATTTGACCATCTGGATTTATATATCAGTTCTATTTACTTAATTCTTGAGTCTACTTCTGAGAAATGGCTTTTCACTTCATGTGCCTATTAAGTTATTATTTTTCTGAGACTGTAAGGTTGAAGGCCACTCTCTTCCATGTAATAAGTGCCATATACACTTTAAAGCCTCTGAAGAAATAACCTGCAGATCTTTGGTCAAGATAAACATGGTACATAAACCTGACTTATGTTACCTCTATACTCTTAATTTTACAGCTAAATTAGCCAAATATATATCTCCTCATAAAGTATTTAGGTATACCTCATACATGAATTATATTAGGCATATTTATATTTATTTATAATGTATATGTACTTATAAACTTGTATTTACATTTTATTAGATATACTTCACAAATGAAAGTTATCGATCTATTAATAAATATCAACTTAAGTGACTTCTACATAGAAAGTGAAATGCTGTAGGTTTCTAATCTACAAGGCAAAGAAGATATGGCCATTTTTTTCACGTTTTTAAATTAATATGACATGGACTTGGGTTTTAATAGCTAGATATTAGGAGGACACGTTTATTTCTCTTTCCTCCTTGTGTTTCCAGGTAGAAGAACTTCCACCAACGTAAACTTTCTGGCCTCTTACCAGAAGGGAGTTATCTGATTCACAGCTTTAAAAGAAGGAACCAGGCACGCTTGGCTCAGCTCCTTTCTCTTTTTGGATCAGCTTATCTGCAGAAAGGATGCATTCTTATTTGCTCTCCTGCCAAGAGCAATGGAACTAGACCTTATGGGGCAGTGATAGTGGAAGGTTTGGGTTGATTCATCTCTGCCTTCGACTGGATGGGTAACTTTAATTCTGGAACTCAATATTAGAAAAGTCCTTTGGCTCACATCTACACCATGTCCCTCAATGTCACTTTTCTCAGTGATGAAGCTACATTTTGATGATCAGATGTTTGACTCCTACCCTTCTCTCTCAAATGATTCTGAACTTGGGCAGGAGTGAAGGGTGTGTTCACTGACCCTCTTCTCCCACAATGCTTACAATCAGCACACTGGGGTCATGCTGACATTTATCAAAAGTGCAGAACTCAAGATTCCAGAGTCAGGAATATCTCTTCTGACTACCAGATGGGAAAGAAAATAAGAAGGTCTGAAGCAACTGTGAAGTACAACTTCTTCCTCCAGAGTAACCAGACTCACTCTATTTGGCCCACCCACAAAAGTTACAAGATCCCTCCACAGAAAATGGGCTAGGAAATCTGTAACTGCAAGAGTGATATTAAAGAGTTTGAAACCATCCTTCCTAGACTGGAATTCAAGGTTTTCCTGATCATGCTCCCAAAGTATCACTCCTTAAAGAGAGGCCTCTTCATTTGTATGTTGTAATGTGTCAGAGATGCCATCATTCTTTTGAATCATATGGAAATATTAATGAAAGTAATCTAAGTTTTATTTCAATAATTTGTTTCAGTCAAACCATCAGAACTGTAGAATAGCTTTGGTATTTACATATTTTAAATATTAATGGATAACTTGACCTCTAGCATTGTTGTGATCAGTCAGCTTCTGTTTCCGGGAGGAAAGCTGAAATAGGTTAAAGGTACTGCAACAGTATTATGACCCAACACAAGACAACAAAGATTAAAAAAACATCTCTCAATATTTCTTGTGAAAAATATTCTAAGCCATTCTGCTGTTGCAGGTCAGTTTTTTAGAAAGTTAGCTTTATTATACCCCTGTGATCTTTTTAATAAACAGATCAATTTCTATATGTTTCAAAAAGAAAATCCAAGCTATGGTGGTTCCATTTTCCTCATTGTCTATTCAACTGTTAGTTGAATCCTATCATCTTATGACTACCACTTAGTTTTTCAAAGTCATGGTTTACCCTCTTCTCTCCTGAGTAGTCCTACAACTTACACATACTAAAAATAAAGTCACATATTCACCTTTAACTAAAATGGAAACTACAGTTGTCTTGAGAAGTGCTAAAATATACTTCTTGTTTACTCTGTGTATTTTTACAGCTTAAAAACAATATTATTTTCATGTTTTGGAAAACCACCTAATTTAACTGGACACTATTTATAAAAATTCAATGTTTAAATGGAACTTAACAAAATTCACCTCCCACAGATTTGTTTGGTGACCAAGGGAGTAGTGGAGACATATCGAACAATAAAAATTAAACTGAAGGCATCCCCTCAACTATATTAGGCTGAAGGATAAATGCTGAAATATCTCTATTGGGGAAAAAAGTTAAATTTATTACCATTTTTGGATGCTCTTACTTGGCTTTTGAAAGCAAAAGTATATAAGCCAAATAATCTCATTTCCGTGTAGGTTATTTCTGTCACCTTCAGATTTGTGACTGCTGTCCTGGTTCATCCTTTAAAGGTAAAGATTGTGCAAATTAAAAGTATTTTGTAGACAACAGCATGGATGAATTTTCAGTCTTTAGCTTTGTCTCTAGCCATATAAACAAAAAGAGACTTTCAATTTCAAACTGCATCGTGGCTTTACTTTACGTAAAACTTTTACAGGGTCTAGGGAATGTAAACAAGTACCTGGAATTACCCCAATCGGTACCAATGCCGGAGAGTGATCCTCTTGTGTCAGCTGCGTATTTGTAAACCACTAGCAGGCACTGTTTACAGAGCTCGACCAGGCGCTGGCAACACTGGAGCTGCAAAGGAGTCACCACCTCTGGGCTTTTACTGAAAATACTCTCCCACGAGGATCTGTTGGCATGGAAACAGACATGACCTCATGTGGCTGTTGAAAATGGCAACCAGCTATATCACTTACCTAGCAACAAACCGATAAGGAGAAGTAGAAATGGCCTCATACGTTTGAAGTCACTACAGATGCTTGAAAGGTATAAAATAAATACAAATTTGGAAATAAATCTTTACATTAAAAAAACACAACAAAGAATTCATATACTATTTGTCTTTAAAGACTTTCCTGCTGCCAACTGTTGGTAGCTAACAGGATGGTTTCCCAACACCTCTTACAAAATTGAATTACTCTATATTAAACTATTTGTAAAATACTGAGCTAATTTCTCAAAAGTGAAGTATTCTGGGAATTTTGGTTTTCTAGGAGGCTATATTTACCTTTACATTAATAATGACCCCACCAAACAATGAAAAAGTTGCTGCAACTTAATTTGTGACCTGTCTCCACTAGGAGAATTTAGGTTAATCCCTTGATTATGATCACCCCTTTCAAACCACTCTCAGATGTACTTATGTCCACGACATTCCAAGAGCACAGGCTCTCTACTCTAGAAGTAATGTAATCTCAACAAGTGCTGTCCTACTGCAGTCCCAAAGGTGATGTCCTTCCCCCTTTAGCGCACCCAGCTTATTCAAAAGCAAGCAGTAGTGCGCACTTTCTTGGTAAACTTCAACTAGGTGTGTGTGTGTGTCTGTGTGTGTGTGTATGCAAATATATGTATTTACAATTGCTAAGTTTACTATCATGGCCCAAATCAGGAAACACCTCACCACCCCACCACCACTACCACCAGGAGCAAGTGAGAGAGAGAGAAGGAGCAAGTCAGAGAGAGAGAGAGAGAGAGCGACAGAGAGAGACAGAGAGGGATTTATTTCCTTAGTGTAAATGAAACTCTTTTCAAACCGCAAGGGGAAAAATCGGTTTGAGACTTGGTAATGGCTCAGGTCTCATTTTACATAAACCAATTCGCTTAACCCTCAGAGAGAGAAAAGAGCAGATTTTCAAAAAGAAAAAAATAGTAAGGAAAATATTTTTCTGAAGAAATGTACTTCCCAATGGGAAATTCAAAGACTCCATTTTCAATCTTCTGTGGATATTTGATATCTTTGGAATTTTAAAAAATCCTTTAGACACTCAGAAAGGTATTTTTTAGCAGAAAGGCTACTATTTATTTTTTCAGGGGGAACATGGTCCCAAAAAGACAGCATGTCATCGTTGAATGACAGGTTTTCTTAAGGGGAATAAGATTCAAATAAGTAGATTGAAAGGAATAAATTTTCTTCCATGTTCTGAGATGTTCAGGACTAAATATAATACTGTTTTTATTATTTAAAAAGGAGTAAAAGTTATGTTCACTCAAGAAACAGGAATATGCTAGTTAAATTAACTTTAAAAATAAATTTTAATTTATTACTAAATATAAGAAAAACTACATATGATATATATGTGTTTATATATATCTATATGTGTGTGTGTATATATAACCATTTTACCTAATTTGATCAAGAAAAACATGGGAGAACATCAACTAATTAGAGAATATATTTATAATTAATACATCTTAATCTAGCAGGCCCTATATGTCTGGGCCCAGAGTAATAAAAATTTCATATAAATGTAAATATACACAGAAAACATTCTGTGTTCTGACTGTCTGCCTTGTACTTTTCTTTTCTCTCCACTGGGACTTTGAGTATTTCAGAGAAGTCTACCCCCATCACCACCCTCCCCTCTCAATTTGGATATATTTATATTTTGATCCTTTGGAGCCATTTGATTAAATCCACTATCAGGTCACTCACATCATGGTAATTTTTCTTTTCCTGACTTAGAGTGTAGAAGTAAGAAAAACAAATAAAATGGAAGAAAGATAAAAGAGCTTCTTCTGTAACACTCTAATTTGATGTAACATTCTGAATAATATGTGAGTTATAATATGAGCAGCTTTGGCTTCTGATTCTCTCATTCTTCCTTAAATACTTAATCAAGGTCCTTTACCTATTTGTGGTGTGTATGTTCACCACCACTGGTCAAAGACTACCTTCTACTCTATTAATCCATATTTAAGTGTCAGCACACAAGAACCCCTCATAAAGAAAAAAGAAAATGAAGAGGACTTGCTTTGTGTGGTACTAGGCTAATGGCACCCCCTCTGCACAAAGAAGACCTATTCTTCAAACTGAGTGTATTAGAACTGTGTCCCCACCTCCTACCTACCACCTGGCATAGCTGAGTAAATGTGAAATGATGCTATAACACTATAAATGATGCTATAACACTATAGTATCTCAATTTTTAATACTAACACAAAATTTTTTAAGAAGGTGAAAAGATGTAGAAATAATTTGGAAATATCATTGCCTTTATTGAAGAACCCAGGGTCTTATCTGCCTGCTTTCTGAATCTAAATTCCAAGGAAATAGGAGGACTGAAATCCATGACTTCAAAAAGAAAAATTAAATGGTTAAAAAGTTCTTTCTGGCACTCCCTAATTCTCAGAGAAATATGAAAGGAACTGACTTTGAATGACGTTTTTTAGTAATATAACAATAAGATATAGAATACTGAATACCTCTGGCAACAAAGAAGAGTTATTAATGAAATCCAGAGGATTGAAAAGCCTCATATAATCCAGTAATCCAATAATTTTCACCTCCTTTCTCATTAAAATATTTAATAAAGCAGTTATCTAAAAAGTGAAACTGATTCATTTCGTTCTCTTTCTCTGGTAGAAGTCCTAATGGATGGCTGAGTGGCCCAAAGTTATGTAGCAGAAAGGAGAAAAGAAAGTAAAAAAAAATCTGGACTATACTAACTGGATAATCAGCAACAGAAAAATTAATGATCTGAAAAGTACTAACAACAACACATCCGATTGAAAGTGACATGAGGACAGTAAGATTCACACCAGTTTAAGCAGTTTATATGTTATGCACACATTTTCAAGTAGGCATATAATTTAGCCTAGAAGCAGACTGCTGCCTTAGAATATTCCTTACAATTTCTTCTTGCCCTAAGATTCTAAAAGAAAAGCTTTCCCATAAGAAATTCCACAGGAACATGCTTTTGGCTAAAGGGTTCAAACCAGATTCTCTTCTTTGGGGTTTATAATATGAGGATTTTGAGAGGAGAGGGGGTTTTCCAAACAAGTTCCCTCTCCCATACTACCCCCTGCCCTCTCCTCTTTGCTTTAGGCAAACTCCTATTTTGCCTCTTCCTGCAAGTCTCAGCTGAAACGTTACTTCCCTTGGCCACCTTTCCTGAGCTCTCAGGCCTGAATGTGAGTCCCATAAGCACCTAGACTTCCCCTATCCCAGTGAAACATGGTAGATAATTTCATTCATGAAACTTTCCAAGAGCTATTCTCCCGGAGAAAACACATTCAGAATGCAGAGCATCATAACACTCCCAGGAGCCTGCATGTCATAGAAACGGTCACTGAACATGGGCTTCAGCAGCCTGGAAGAGCTAGAGAGAGAGATGAGGGTGTTTTCTATTTGATGCATCAGTAAAACCCCTGGGCCAATTCTAGGGAAACCTACCACAAAGATCTACAACATTCTTTTTTGTGTGTGTGTGAGGAAGATCAGCCCTGAGCTAACATCCGATGCCAATCCTCCTCTTTTTGCTGAGGAAGACTGGCCCTGGGCTAACATCTGTGCCCATCTTCCTCTACTTTATATGGGACGCCGCCACAGCATGGCTTGACAAGCGGTGCGTGGGTGCGCGTCCTGGATCTGAACCTGCGAACCCTCGGGCTGCCGAAGCGGAGCGCGTGCCCTTAACCACTACGCGACTGGGCCGGCCCCCTACAATATTCTTTAATGTTTCTGGATATGGACAGAGAATGGTATATTTATTTTGTTTTATTATTGGGGTGTTGACAGGCAGAGGCAGAATCAAGGGGGCCCAGAGTTATTTGGATTATATTTTTCCAAGATTTTACATCTAACTGTGAAAGACAGCTGCACCTTTTATTAAAATCATTCCTTTAGAACTGAGCTAAGAGTAGATTTTTACCTTGACTATTAGGCTGTTAGGCCAAAGGTTAAAGGAGTCTACATTGACTAGACATAATTCAAAGGATAAATAGAACTATTCTGGGTCCAAACTGAGAATCAAACACAAACAACCCCATGTGACTTCACTCAATTGAGGACACCTAAGAAACTCATTTGTAAAGCTGCAAAATAAAATCTGGAGTTAAGCTCATCTCTACAATCCACCGAGTTCCTAAAGAAATGGCTGGAGAATGGAGGTCATATTGGACTCAAAGCCACTCCTGCTCTACCTGCCCAAGAGCAAAGGGCTGGAGATTCGGCTAAAGCTACGGGCCCTGCAATAAAGCAAGCTTGGCAACCCCTGGCAATGCTGTTTTGAGGGGAGTCAGTAAAGCACAGAGTTAAGAGCTTGGGCTCTTGACTCAGACAACCTGGGTTTAAATCCAGGCTCACCTAGTTACTATGAGAACTTGGGCAAGTTATATAGTCTCTTCATGCTTCAATTTCCTCATCTATACAATAACAATAATAATAATAGTTTATTCAAAATATTGTAGTGGTGATTATAAGAATATTTAATATGTAAAGCAGTGTCAGGCACTTAGAAAGCCTTCAATAAATGTTATTTACTCTCATTATCATTATTAGTAGTAATAGATACCATCAGAGAAATCTGGGGGGAGTACTATGCCAGAAACCAAAGAAAAGGATTCTGAATCCAAGTTAGAGTGTATTACCAAAATAGTTTAGGGAAGAGGAGCCCTAGAGGCAAAGAAGAACCACTTCCTGGGCATCTTTAGGGTCTGGCATTGGACATTATCTCATGGACTCAAAGGCACCAGCACCAATTTCAGTAGCAGACTATCTCACTGCCTTCCATGGTGGAGAATAGCTAGATTTCATATACAGCATTCCAACCAATGAATCAACAAACGGAAAAAAACATTTCAGTTATGAGTTCAGATGGAGAGAACTTCTATAGAGAGCTATCAACTAAGGGGCCATGGAGTACAGTTCAAATGTGTCACTTAAGTCTGTAGAAATAACTTATAGCCAAGATTAATCTCAGATTTCATCACAACGCAGAGCACCTTATGAATTCTCCCTGTTGGTGAATGGCAGCTGAGGAAAATTATGGTGGTGAGAATAAGTCTGCAAGTGGTATGAAGGATTGAGTACTAGATGACAGAATACTTAAATGGAGGACATTCATAGATCATTTCTGACTAGAATAGTCTGTTAAGGTTTTACAAAAAAGGGGTATAGTTGGGTCTTTACAGAGGATTTAAATAATGCAGAGGGGATCGGAGGGATGGAGTTGTAGAAGGCAGCCCAATCAGCTATTCAATGACATCAATAGCTCAGAGGAAGAGAAGGACAAATTTTTAAGATACTTGAAAAATAATCAGTTTGTTTTTCTGTAGCAGAGTTCAAGAGAGTAATGAGAGAGAAGACTGGAGAAATAAGAAAGAACCAGCATATTAGAGAGTCTTGTATCTCTAGACAAGAGGTCTAGACTTTAATGAGAAACAAGGGAAATCACTACAGGTTTCAGGAAAAGACCAGGACAGTAGGATGGATAAGGGAAACAAAATATTGGAGGCAAAAATGCTTAGAAATCTATTAATTTCACCTAGACCTTCTACCAAAAAGGATCCTCTTATCTGAAATCCTATAAAACTTTATCTGTATCTCTTTTATAATCATTACATTTGTATATATGTTATTTTGTCTACTGGGAGGCAGCAGAGCAGAGCTTACTGGTTAAGAGCATGAACTCTGGGGCCAGGCTCCCTGTGTTCAAATCTCAGTTGCACTAGGTTCTTAGTACCTATCTGTGCCTCAGTTTCCCTGTCTGTAAAATGGAGATAATCATAAAATCTACTTCAAAGTGATGTTAAGAGGATTGAATCACTTAACACACGTAAAGTGCTTAGAACAATGCCAGGCACATAGTAAGTAGTATAGTGTTAGCTATCATCATTTTTAAGTTTCTTGAGGGTAGGATCTGCGTCAGATTCAACTTTGTATCTCCAAAAGTATTTAACACAGTAGTAAGTACTTGGTAATTGTTAAAAACAATGAAAAAGAATCTAGAGCAGCCTCAGTGGGAATGTGACAGAAAAACTAACAGGATCTAGCAAATGACTGAATAAAGACAGTGAAGGAGAAGGAAGATGCAGATGCCCCTGAGATATCAAACCTGTATGACTGGGAGAATAACAGTGGGATTAAGGGAAGTCCAGAAAGGAAGCCATTTCTGAATAAAAGGGAAGTATGGAATGTTTGGTTTTAGATCTCCTGAGGCTAAAATGACAAGGAGTCACCACCGCTTTGGCAGGACTGAAATTCTAGAGAGAAGCAGGAGTATAACCATAATTTTGGAAGTCTGCTACATAGAGACAACAGCAAAGAACCTTAAGGATATTGATTTGTAATTGAGAGTTTCGATTAATTAAGACTACCTTCTCCCCACTGAATTCAAATTAGCTGGGTGGTGTTGTGTTCATATTCATCATCTCATCTAAATCAGCTTAACTGCTATAAATAATAGTTGAGTACTAAAAATTACATGCAGTAAAAAATCCATATTTTAAGTGATCATTAAAGACATTCAATCTTTTTATTGGGCTACCTCTATAGCCAAATAGTAAAATACTAAAAACGACAATAATAAAAGATAGCTTAGAACTTACCCTGAATCACAGAAACAGTTCCACAGTCCTTGGCCATGACTCCAGAGTAAGCGATTAAAAACCCGGTTGAAAATCCGATATAAATTAACTTCCTCAACATCAGGTACCTTCCAGATGTGTGGAAGAATTGTACGAATACTTGTTTTCACTATGTCCAAGACCTAGTGGAAAAAACAAGGTATTTCAAAATCTAGGTGTCTATGTGTGCATCTAAAACTCAAAGACAAATATACATAATTTAAAGATTAATACACACACATTCACTCACTAACTGAACAACACACAATAAAAAGTCCCAAACAGAACCATGCATTTATGAAATTTTTGTATACGAACAAGTGGCAAGTCAGACCACTGGAGTAAGAAGAAATTAAAATTAAAATTAAATTGGAATTAAATTAAATCAATAAATGGAGATTTTAAAATAGTAATCTTTATGAAAAAAATCAATGAAGTTGAATCCTCACTTCACTCAATTAACAAAAATCAACTCTAGAGGGATTAAGGTCTTAAGTTAAAAAAATAAACCATTAAATATCTTAGTGGAAAGTATTGATTAATATCTTTTAGACGTTGGGTTAGCTAAAGATTACTTAAGTCACAAAAAAGTATGGACCATAAAAGATTCATAAACTCAATTATATTAAAATTAAGAACTTCTGGCCATCAAAAGATACCTTAAAGAAAATAAAAGATCAAGTTACAAACTGGAAAATATATTCAAAACATATATATCCAACAAAAGATTAGTATCAGGAATATACAATGAATGCCTAACAAACTGTTAATATAAACACCAAGAACTTATTAGGAACAAAAGGACAAAAATATATGAATAGGAATCTCACAAAAGAGAAAATAATATGCCCAAAAAACACAAAGAATAAAAATTTCATGTCCATTTAACTAACAAAAATTAAAGGTCTGGCAATACTAAGTGCTGGAGAAATATGGATCTGTAGAGTCTCTTAGACATTGTTGGTGGGAGTATAAACTGGTGCAGTTGCTCTGGAAAATAGCTTGGCATTATCTCCTAAAGTTAAAAATTCATATACCCTATGACCCAGCAATTTTATTCCTAAGAGAAAATCTCTCATAGGTTAAAAACAAGAAGCATGTACAAGAATGTTCAAACAGCTGTTCTCAATTGTCAACACCTGGAAACAACCTAACTCTCCAACAACGGGACAGTGAATAAATAAACAGTGGTGTATATTCATTCCCTTGGACTACAAAACATATAGTAGTCAAAATGAATGAAATACAAGACACACAACAACACAGAGCATCTTAGTAATATAATGGCAAGTTAAAAAAATACATACCAGAGATTACTTACATTGTGAAACCCTTTTAATAGAAGTAAAAACAACTAAATTTTAAAAATACTATGGGGGGGGCCGGCCCCATGGCTTAGCGGTTAAGCGCACGCTCTGCTACTGGTGGCCCAGGTTCGGATCCTAGGAGCACACCAACGCACCGCTTCTCTGGCCATGCTGAGGCAGCTTCCCACATACAGCATCTAAGAAGGATGTGCAACTATGACATGCAGCTATCTACTGGGGTTTTGGGGAGAAAAAAGGGGAAAAAAAAAAGAGGAGGATTGGCAATAGATGTTAGCTCAGGGCCAGTCTTCCTCAGTGAAAAAAAAAGAGGAGGACTGGCATGGATGTTAGCTCAGGGCTGATCTTCCTCAAAAAAAAAAAAAAAAATACTATGGGGAATACACACAGATATAATAAGAATATATAAAGAAAGAAAGAAAGGGATTGGTGAACATGAATCAAAGAAAATGGCTGCCTGAGACGTGCGGAACCAGGGGGATAGAGCGGAGTCATTTGATTAGATAATAGGTTATTCCCAAGATCCTAGCTTTTGTTTTGGTGTTGGGATCACAAATGGTATAACAACCTTAAAAACACTAACTAAATAAAAGCAGGCCATACATGGACCAATAAGGAGAGAGTATCTTGAAACAAGGACTAGGATTAATCTAATTCTGGACAACCGAAATCCTAGAGGTTCTAAAAAATTCGTAAACCCTCAAAAGCTACTTAGTCTAATTCACATGTATTTAATACTTATGCAATGCAGGTATTTCTGATGAAACTCTTTTTAAAAAAAAAAAAAGTAAATACCAGCAAATACAGTTATTATAATTTCAAAGTAGATTTTCACTTTTTATTTTATTTATCTAATTAAAGGAACTATCTAAAAACATGAGAGTGACAGATGAAAAAAAGAAAGAGACTTTCAAACTTAAAAGCTGAGTGAAACGATTTCTCTCAATGGGCACAAACATATGGAGAACTGGAAGTAGACCAAAGAAGAATTTAATTTGTTTCTCTTTACAACAGCCATATTTAAAGAAGTGATATTAGTTATCTCTGATCAAGGCAAATTTAGAATGAAATCTGTTTAAAAATTAATTTAGTAAAAATTTTCAAAATAACACTTTATTTATAGAAAAATATCAACTAGAGCTTCTCGCAATGAATTGTGTGAGCAGCATCGTTCCCTCCCTTCCTCTTCTGGCTTCCTTCACTGGGAAGTGGGCCAGTACTGCAAACCCTGCAGCAGGTCAGGGGGTGTCAGTGGAAGGGGAGGAGCATGAAGAGAGATAATGGAATCTGTAATAAAGTAGCTTGTGAAAAAAATTGTCCGGGAAAAGCTCGTCATTACAGATAATGAATGCTTAATTACAGAAGGATTTTAAAAAACTGTAATATGAATTATTCACAATAATACTGATATAATAAGCATATCAGGCATTAATTCATACTTTTTATTTTTACAATTTTCATTTAAGCTATTAGTTTAACTCTTTATATTTTTTAATGTAGAAAGCAATACTCAGGACTGACGTAATATAAAAATCAACACTAGCAGTAAATGATAAATCTAAATCACTTCTCTTCTCAATTTTCCTTTCTACTTTCTATGTTTTAGTGAGTAATAACAGGCTAAAAGTCATAATGTGGAAGAATAAAAAAAGGAGCCAAGATAACCCATAAATTGGTCTCGAGAATAAACATGAGTTCTATATAATAAATGAAATTCAAAAGTATTAACCATACTGGGAATTTTAACATTACCTTAATTTCATATTCTATTATTAAATAATTATTCAACTTTAAAGTGATAAAGCATTTGAGATTACAAGTTATTCATTTATTTCTTTTTGAATACATTTCATAGTAAAACGCATATGATGCATAAGAACGAAAGGGAAGGGCAACTAACATGTATTGGCTGCCTGCTTTATGCCAAGCACTGTACTAGGTATATTACTAAGAGGAGACTCTCTTGGCCACTGCTCTGGATACATTTTATTCTTGAGGGAATTTTAAGAGCACGATAGTCCAATATCCTAGCCGACACATGACTAAAAGCAGCAACTTCAGGCAGCAGCCAGGGAGTTAGGGGTGGGGAATGTTCTGCTCCACTCCTAATGTTTCCTCCAACATGGAGATGGAGAAATCTGCAGGCCTCTTGTGCCCCACCAAGCATCTCTGCCTGAGGAGTGATTCCCAGAGACTGGCATGGTCTGAGTAACCCAAGAACTTGCTTTTTCTTTTCCAGAGTATCCCACTGGGAACATCCATACTCCTTTGCTTCTCTTTGACTTCAATTTTAAAGGATCCTCCCCAAGGAGGCAGGATCTGGTCCAGGGAGAGGAGTGGGTTAGGGAGACCTGTTATATGGAGGGCATAGGGGCATGCAAACCAAGGGAGCAGAAATCCAAATCTCTCATCTCTCCTTTGAGCCTTCACATAACCTCTTTCCTCTGCTGGAACAGTCTTCCCTATCCGTCCACCTGATGAACTTCTATGTCTTACCTCAAACATCACTTTTTCAGAAAGACCTTTATCGGCCACTAAACTATTGTATGATCCCTTAATGCCCAGTTCTTCCCCTATTAACAATTACCTGACTTTAATTTCTTGTTTAATTAATGGAACTGTTAATCTACATAAAGGGAGGAATTATGCCCATCTTGGTAATAAACTTGCCATGTCCCCAAGGCTTAAGACGGGTCTAGAACTTAGTCAGTGTTTGCCTTAGTAAAATTGTTCCTTGCAAGAAAGTGAAACCTATGCAGAAAAGGTAAAAACCAGAGCTCATACTTATTAGGCTTATTATAGACCAAGTGCTGTTCTAAGCACTTTCACGTATAGTAATTCATTTATCCTCAAAACAAAAACATGAAGTAGATACAATTGGTCCATAGCCCCCTTCCAAAAATCTTGAGGCTGGATTCCATAATCATACACACTACTATTTCTGCAGGAAAATATGTGAATATTCAAACCAAGAGATAGACAAAAATAACACACAACCTCCTGTCAGTTCACTGTCATCAAATGAGTTCAGGTTTTGCTGCCTAATGGTCGTGAAAAATTTTTTGGTTTTGAACACATTTTGTATCTCATTTTATGGATGAGAAAACTCAAGCATAGAGCAGATAAGTAACTTATGCGAGATTACACAGCTAGTTAATGGACAATTGTGTAGCCAGACCTATGCTCTTAACCGCTACCCAGCACTGCCTCACAATTAATTTGATCTGTCCAGGCGACAACAGCAAAACCCTAGAAGAGAACGGAATTGTCTCTTCTTAGATTCAGATTCACCTCTAGTCAAGTAATACTTGGGAAGATAGGTGGGGTCGCTGTGTACAAACAAGGCAGCCCAGGCACCTCTTCCCTCAGGGCCATCAAGTCCATGAAGGACTAGTTTACTTAAAAGGCTATACAGATGGGGAGACAATGACTGCACCTTTAGCAAAACATCCACTGAATAATTTTAGGAAGACAGAGAGCAAGCAGGCAACAAATCAGACTGGATATTTTGGGTTTCTAGGTGCTTTGGGGTTAGACGAAAATGGACAGAAGATGAATAATTTGTGAAACACAAAAATAAATGGTCAGCAAGGTGCCCTTTGTGTTCATCTGTGGACTCAAATGAGGCTAACTTATAGAATATACGTATCCATTTCCTGACATTGTGACTTTTAAAGCATCCCGATCCAACATTAAGCTCGCCAAGGGAAAAAATAAATGGGAGATTTGGTCAATGAAAACATTAATAAAATGGAAAGATTTATCTTTTCCATATGAAATATAGCACATTTGAAGGCATAAAGCACACAGACAAATTC